AACCCACTGGAGGGACACTCGGCTCAAACCCACTGGAGGGACACTCGGCTCAAACCTACCCGGGCTCAAACTGCACCAGACACACACTCGTAGAAACCCGTCGTGTTTTTTTTTAAAACATTTCTCAGAGAATAATTCATGAAACTAGCAAATCGTGTTCAGGAGATAATCATACGTGTGTGTGTGTAATTTGGTGCAGATCCTAATTCTGGATCTAGAGAATTTAAACGTGATTTCACAGGGAGACTGTTGAACTGTTGGAGCGCTGGAGGGAAAAGTGCAGGATGATCTGATAACAAACGGGGGGGGAGAGTAATTTACGACCCCAGCGGGAGGAATGTGAACCAATTCACTTTAAATCCAAAGCCGTGAACTCAGCGGTGACCTTTAACCTCTGAGCTTACCCATTGCCCACCAGGTCAGCCCCGGGGGCCACTCTCTTGTCTGCCGGACACACGACGGAGGGGTTGACACAGTCCCTCTCGTCAGAGTTATCTCCGCAGTCGTTCTGCCTGTTGCACGTCAGCGTCGAGTTGATGCAGCGTCCTGCAGCAGAGAGAACGTTCTCAGTGTTTTCAGCTTCACTCCCTTCGTGAGGAAAAAAAAACCACCACTCACCATTTTCGCACTTGAAGTTGTCTCTGCAGTCGACGGGCACTAACTTGCACTCAGTGGAGGGGTGACAGGGCCTCTCCTCCGTCAGGTGCACGCTGCAGTCCGAGCCCCCGAACTGGGACGGCCTCTGGACAAAGCGGGTGCGGAACTACGGGGACAGCATGGAAAGGAAATAAAATAAAAACACTGACGGATCAAAATCAGACACTGATATCGATGAGTTTGTGCAAATCGGTGCAGCTTGATTGAATTTAAGGGACAGTTGGGCCTCGACGGAGGTTTGAGACGTTCTACTGTGTTAGATTCTTTATTTATCTTCTGTACGAGTCGGATAAGATCCTGACACTGTGAATTTAAAAGGTTTCAGAAGAGGAATCTTTTCTCTACTGAGTGACGTCAGTTGCGATGATTTCCTTGCCTCAGTATTTTCGTTGTGCGTTGCATTGTGGGACTTTGGCCGTCAGTGTTCCTGCCGTGTGACCTGTGAGTTTCTTGCCTGTTTCCTGGCGCAGGGCGAGCAGTCCGACCAGGGCCCGAACTCCGTCAGCAGGCAGTTGATGGGACAGGCCTGCTCGTTGCAGGCTCTCCTGTCGTCTCTGTCACACAGCTGACGGCAGCTGCTCTTCCAGTAGTAGTCGTCAAACTGAAACCTCCTGTCACAAAGGTATGAAGGTCACTTTGACGTGGAGCAGCTGTCTGACATCTGGACGAGACTCTTACGTCACAGCAACAAGTGAAAACAGCAGAGATTCAATAATCCTCGATGACAGACGAGGGCTGTCAGCTTGTGTTTGAAATTCATTCAGCTCGTCTGAGCCGTGTCTCACCTCAGTCTCTGCTGGGTTCCGTGGTTGCAGGTCCTGGAGCAGGCGGACCAGGAGCTCCAGGGATATCGGTCGCAGAAACAAGCGAGAGCGGCTGAGACGAAGCTGAGGAGCTGCAGCAGCACGAGGAACTGTCTGGAGGACGCCATCACACCCGGGGGAGTTATTCTGAAAAGAATTCAAAATAATAAGAAGAATTAAATTATTCAAA